CCGGCGCAAAACTCAAAGTAGAGATGGATAAAAGAAATGTAATACTTTATGACATCTTAGTAGATGTATATATATTTCATAACGCGATAAAGCTATCGTAAGCGTTAAGAATAACATACGGATATCTATGACCTAATTACAAGGAAAAGCCACGACGAGAGTTCATCATCCGGCATATAATTCTTCAGCGAAAAACAACAGTCTGTTTTTGTCTGTCACTCCATACCTCCGTCGCGAAAACAATCAGCATATAATTTAGACCTATGGGGCGACCAAGAAATCAGATAGCGTATTCCCTGGGTGCTGTACTTTGGTCACGTTTCCATATCTACTAACTACTAACTACCGAACTACGAACTGAGAAGCATTTACAGTGAAATCTTGTTCAGCTCGAATCATCAATTCGCTCCTGATAGAATTTGAATAAACAAAAATCTTTATCAGATCTTACTTTTAGGCAACGGAAAAACACTTGTATTTTCGCTTGTAGTTCCATGGAAAATCTACAAGTATTTCCTATTCATATTATAGAGCATGGTGTGGTTGCTTTTTAATCACGTAATAATAACAATAAAGACTGCTCATATTGTGTAAAAATCTAATGAAGAAAAACGAAATTGTTCGTAGACGCGTACCATATATAGTATCATTGTAACATAGCATTACGTATGCGGTACCTATACAGCCGACAGTGTCATACGAACAAACTGCCTCGACGTCACGGGTCGTCTCATGCTTTCAGACGGGGAACAATATGGTAGGAACCAACAAGTCCATAGGATATCTATAGGATACAAATAGCAAACGGGTCTCTCATTGCTTGGATGCCAACTCTTGTAGGGCAGTTCTTAGCATGCATTCTTCTATATAAACTGTTGTGCATACGTTGTTCTTTAAACTAGTTTATCTGTTCCTCTTCGACTGACGTTTCAGCGGTGTTGGCATCTCGAGCCGCCCAGCTATCGATCGAGATCTGATAAATCTGAATAGACTTTGAACCAATGTCGCACAGACAGTCGGACACCATCAGTCTACATATATGTATATAAAATGTAAAGCAAGATTATAGGCTTGATCATCAACTGGACGAAATTGGACGCGTTAACACGCAGTGGCAACTGCTGCTTGGGCGGCCGACAATGGCGGGTAGAGTTTTGCGAACTGTTTAGTAGATGGAGACTGGTTGAACTGTCGGCTCCTTACAAAAAACACATGCATTAGCTGCTTCACGAACAGTTTTATCGACTAAGTCATGCAGGAATACGACTTAGATACTTCATGTACGAGTAAAATGGTGCCTTTACCCTAAACATAGAGATACGGAATAATTGATACGTGTTGTTAGGCTCCTCAGACAGACGCTTGGCCTCAATCACCACCCAAAATCCGGCCGATTTCATAACGAACGATCCGTACAAGGAACGTTCTGTGTTACGTAATATAGGGAGAACAGCGTGAGCTAGAACACGTGCATAGATTTCGGCGCTAGCACACGTGGGAGATTATCATTAGCACTTTAAGCGCGAATATTAGTTGTGTGATATATAAGACAATATAAAAATTTTATAGCCAATTATAACCCTTTTGATTTTGAGATTACTATACAACTAGTGGTTTTAACAATTACTCGGAATAGCGGAACGGTAACATCGTTGCCTGCTGATCCAGCAGCTCGACTTCCGATCCGCGCACAGGCAAGAGTCTTCCTCAAAAAGACTACATGTAGGGCAATATACTGAGTTCAATAAATATGGGAGCATCTAGAAAATATGTGTCCAGGTAAATGTTTTGCAGCTGTAATAAACGAAAAGGGCAATTAGTCTAAATCGTCAAAAACTATGATAATTACATTGGTATCTACTGAAAGTCGATGGGCTATATTGAAAGACCTTTCGAGGGAATAATCGTTAAAGGGCACCCGTTAAAGAGCGTTAAAAAGCGTGAGCTACTGGTTTTTTTTATATGTTCTCCATAGTCTACTAAGCAATCCAATGCTTCTAGGTAGTGGCCAACCATTTTAATTATATAAGAACCTCCTGAGATTATCCTGTGTGTGTGTGTGAGATACTCGGCGATTATCTACTGAGGTGCCGAGACATCGTGACCACGGTGAGATCATTTATTTGCTTGACGTTATGCAAATCGCTTGTTCCGTCCACAGTATTATTTGTAGCCATTATACCCCTAGAGTACTTCATCGTTCATATTAATGTCTAGCCTCGGATAATACAACCCCTCTTCCTTCGAATGCAGTACACTTACGTAAAGAAAGTAGAATAGGGAGTATCTCAATTTTGTATAATGCCCACAGAGATGATGAAGAGATCCCCTTGTACGGCTCGAACAAATTTGAGCTGTAGCCGCTCTGGGCCTTTAAAAATGGGACACCTATTATGCGCCGAGTTGAATGTTGAAAATAAAATTTCTATAAATAGAAGCTGTATACGCATCGTTGTTTGTATGCAGGGATCGCTGAGGATGTGGTCACGAGCACTCGCAAGTCTTCGCACCATTCAAAGAGACATCCTTTAATAATAATATGTTGCAGTGCTAAATGCGTCACGCTCACAAGCTTCAATGGACTCACAGTGCCAACAGGGTACGTCGACGATGGGTGAAACACGTAATAGGGCAACAGCTCTAATCAGCAACAGGCCACTTCCAGCTGCAGTCTTCTAACTAAAATAGGGACTGTGTTTTATCTTCTTACCTATGCACCTATATATTTGTATGTTATGTTATATAACTACTAACTGAATGGCATAGAAAGAGAAGTATCCCGATTAAGAATGTAGTTACTTGTGTACGAGTAAATAAAGCTCTTTATATTTTCGTAACATGCATTTTTGAAAGTGACAACTCTGCCGACGCATATATATAGATGCGCGTTACTAATGGATAATTTATCTAATACATTTACTAATATGATCAGCATATAATCATGGTCATATAAATTGAAAGCTTAATTGTGCCAAACATGCCAGTTGTTGACATTGTGGACATATCAATAGCGAAATGATGCTTCATTTGCACACGACGCCTAGCTAGTTTGATTAATCAGTAGATCGTATGCTTGACAACTTTCTCTGTTTACAACAGTGAATAACACTTGGAAACCGGGGCCACGTCCTAGCTGGTATCGTTTAGGACCACGTGAGTCGTGTGGTTACGAAACACGTTACGCGCCTGACCTCGAGGTCAGTGTTGAGCCCGTTCGGCTCAACAAGATTAGCTCGTACCTACAGATAGGCTTCACCGCAACGCCATTATCACCACTAAATTTACGCCCATCAACCTACGCTGCATGGAACTTACGCCGCTCAACCGCTACAACGTCCGTCTTTCAATCTGGGATCCGAAAATGTTTCCGAGTTCTTCCTAATACACCCCCAAAAACGATACCGATTACGCTGCGCTAATAGAAACCTCTAGGCAAAATAGTACGCTGATCTTACCTAAAAAAAATCACTCATTAATTTTCGTAGAGACCTCGTCGTGATATTTGGTCTGACCGCACTGTCAAATATTTGAAGGCGCTAAATTCACAGAACGGTAACGAACGCTCTATTCCAAATCGTTACTTTTTGCGTCGACTGTCTTTATTTGTACAAACTGCTGTACAAAAGTACAGGTAAAGGCGTTGTACTCGTGTCTTATGCTATCGATGGCGACAGCGAAATGAGGCGCTGGATAAACCAGCCAGTTCGAGTCGAAAGATGGTGCTCTTGCTTTCACCCATTTCTGACCTTTATGATTACGTCAAGTATAAGATAAAAGCTCGAAGAGGTTGCGGTCGATGTCAGTTCGGTACCATTACAATTACGATAGGTTGAGGGAGCTCTGTTCGAAGCAAAAAGTGATTTAAAGTGAATGCTAAGATTCTCGAGACCGCAATAGGCGTCACGGGCGGTACCGCTTTCAAAGGGATCGTCATCAACCGAAGCGATTAGAGACTTATGAGAGAGAAATCCGGAAAATGTATTCTTGTTTCCATATACGATCCTAATGCAGAGACTGCACACTGCTTCACGTCCATTTTTCGGAAGCCTGCAAACTTCATGACAACATAAAAAAAAGTAGTTTATCTCGAGGTGAGTTTCGAGTTCAGGCTGCCGGAATCCTCGCTTTAATTAAACATGATCGTTCGTTCACGACACACTGAAGATCATTAGAAACAAGCGACTGTTGCTTAAATACAATATTTTAGAATATAACCTAGTTCTTGCCAGCATCAAAGTACACGCGTACTTTGAATGGCGCAATTTTTTTCATTCTGTACGAGCTGTGTTGGCAATTCGGCAAACCTAAGTATTTTCGCAGTATTGAGAATCCTCGTTAAAACGCTGCATTAATTTTTTGTTTGGTTATATACGATACGGTATCATCGATTCAACGGTAATATGTAGGGCACGCTTTGCTGATGTCATTCCACGTGTTCGCTTATTTCTTTACTGATGCGTTCTATAGACAATGCTTTTACTAGAGGATTTGTTAACGGTGCGCCCACTTTTCTGGCCGGAACTACCAGGTTGGCCACTATGAGTGCTTAGATGCGTGACCATTACTGCTTTGGAATACTGGCGTTTGTTTCTTCCAAGTAGTACTCAATGGAGCTGAGCCGTACTCCTGTCACAAGGGTCACTCTCTAAGGCCGAACTCAGTCCCCCTTATTAATCGCCTTTGAGACCTTTCGCACTCCTATAGTGAGCAAGACTTTGCTAATACCTTGATGTCATGTTCGCCGTATTTGATGCCGACCATTTCGTATCATAGCTAAGCACGTTTGACAATTATTCCACTCACGTTTCCATATGATGTCAATTCATTTGTTTAGGGCTGTACGTGTGTGAGCGTGTATACGCATATGTTGGACCCTATAAATACAACATAAACAAGATCTATGGCGAATGATGTTGTATTAAGAAGACTGTGTATCCTACTATTCGCCATTTCATATATTTTGTTGCTGAAATCCTTATTGCCATAACATTAGCTCTAACCTCGAGACGTTGTTGAGCCGGATATCGCGACTATATCGCTCACACCGAGATTTTTAAGAGCCGCATTAAACAATGAGTTCATCGTTTTGCTTACGCTATAGTCGGTCGTCGTAACGAACAATTCAGACTCGACGCCAACAAGCACTGGCCACCGGACACAGACACAGAACTCCGATAGTTCTCCTTCGATGGGTTCGTCTTGCGGTAATAAGAAATGGCACGATAAGTTTTCACCCCCTGATCACTCACTGGTTCACTGATTCCTCTCGCATGCAATTTCTTAGCATTCTAAGCTCCAACTAATCCAATACGTACACTAACGGCAAAGCGTCTTCTTCAGCGACCACTTCTACACTGTTCGCAGTAGAAAAACAGCGCATCCAAAACGTATCTCTAGCGTATAGGGCACGTTGAGACGGTGATCCAGATCGTACTACTTGCTGCGCTACGATGTATAACACCGTGTCTTAAAGTCGTATTGCTGGAACAGTGGCCCAGACCAGATGGCGATCTGCGTTCGCTTCACTAAGTGGCTTATTAGTTGGTTGAGCCTAGTGCGTGTGTTCGACGGCCACAATGGAGCCAAATTTTCGCTCACCCCGTCAGTAGTTCGCGCTATAGGTCCACGGTTGCAATGTTTTCGAATGGCAGGACAGCACACGGTCGTATACACGGCCCCACATTGCAGGTGTGTTTGCCTTCCTTATTGGAGAGGGCCTGATCTGAGGGGGAGAGGTGTGAGCCAGCAGTTCATAGTCATCACCACATCCACATTACTATACACATTGGCGCGAAGTTATGTTGTAGGCTGAGGGAAAGAGAGCCTGCCAACCTTCCTATGGCCCTCACCCCTCGTAAGCTGCCTTTGGCTACCCCTGGCTCTCGCAGCTCCTGAGCAGGCTCCGAGTGCTGCTACACCGTCAAATCTACAGTGTGTACCTGAACTTCGCAAGGCGTTTCACAGGGCTTTGCAGTGGCAGTCGAATAGTCAGTCAAGGAGAAAACCAGACTTCGGTTGCATACAGTGACCTCGCTTGGAGACAACCTGACGGGAAGGCGAAAAAATGAGCACGAAAAATGAAGGAACTTCTGCTAAGTATCATCTTGCGCAGTAGCAGTGGTTCGCAGTAACTCAGTTTTCATGCGCAATCCATTTTTGATTCCAAGTTCGCCTGTCTAACTAAAATCGTTTTTATCTGAATCGTCATTCTGAGCAGACAAATGGCGGCATAGACCGAAGAAAAGAATCGCCGGCAGTGCAAGCGTCAAATAACAATGGCGCGCGCTCGAACTGAATACTCATCTTGTTTCCTCTCCCGCGGCTCATCTAGCCCTCCTCAAAATCCCCATTTTTCCCAAAACAGGATTAGAGGGCAAGGGTGATGACGTCATGCGACAGTGTCTATACATAGAATGTGTGTATGTCGATGTTCCGATGCGTAAAGGATCTCGGTAAGGGTGGTCGGGTGCTGAGTCGTCGGTGGCTAACTCTGCGTTCGAGAGCAGTATGTCCGTCCGCAGAGCTGAGTCGCTATTGAGCTTGAATGAATGAGGCTAGAATGCTTCGAGGAGGCGGGCGGAAGAGGTGGATGACGACGATGAAGAGAAAGAAGTGGATGATGCCCTTCTTCGGCTCGAGGATCTTTTTAGGCCAAGGTATTCCTAGGTTAGCAAGAGATCAGTGAGCCAACCAATTAAAAATGCAACTCGAAAACTACAGAAGCTGATACTTTTAGGGTAACGATTTAAAATAAATCGCTTAAATGCTTAGCTGGTTTAACTTTAAGTTATACTTAAGCTAAACAGATTTTAGGACGGCTTCCTAAAAACACCCGTCCAGGAACAGAAATTATACCGGCTGATTCTCACTGATAAGACGTACATCTATATAGCGAGTAACCTTGTGCTTATGTCACACAAAATATGGCAGCCTTGCGCTAATGCATTACTTACACATAATATATTAGGACAAAGGTAGACCTCCAGAAAGGCTGGGATGTATACACCTCGCAAATGGCCGGCAGTAAAATGAATTATGCTTTACTCACACAAATGTTATATAAGTAAGCATTTACCTGTCGTAATGAATACTTTTTTCCCATTAAGCTGGAATGTTTGCCTATCGAGCGCGCCTATCGACCGCAACAGTCATGGTCATCATTGGTTCTATATTTGCCACCAAGGAAATACCACGTTGAGAAGCGTGCTTATCCTTAATATTGCGTTATAATAAAGAATCATTCAAAAAGCGCGAATTTGTGTACGGGTCAGAAGAACAGAAAACCTTCAGCCAAGCTCATCAAAAGAGCTCGAGTAGACACACCGGTCTATGTAAGTATCTGACTTTAGATATAAATGATATAAATATGGCTTTTAACTATAGGCTAAGGAGGCGGTTAGCTCTCTTGGGCAAAAATTCACATTAACTCTTTGTTGCCATCGAATGCCCGTACAACATCGTGCTTCAAGCAGAAGATGCTGAACCTTAGAAGACAAAGAGTTTCTATTGGACGCTGCTGCTGGCCCTAATTGATAATGCTGTTCGGATCTTTACTAACGGTCCCTCGTAAACCTTATTTTAAAAATGGCCAGCCGTTCATTTCAAATTAATAGACGTCGTTTACACAAAGCTCATTGTGATCCGATACAACTGTGATTTCGGTGGACTCGAAATGGGAAGCGATATCGTTTCAATCAGAATCTTAGTTGTTGATACTGTTGCTATAGCGTGCATGTATCATAAAGCCACTTTCGAAAGTCGTCAGGGGAATCGTCGACGAACTTCTCAATATGCCCTATTAACGGGGAAAACAATTTTCGCCAAATCTTGGCTAGTCCGTACTGATAGGCGAACGGCTGCGAGACGCAACCGCAACGCAAGACGGAGAAAAAGTGCTGTAATTACGCGTGAATAATCAACAAATATTCAGTTCGGTCCTTTGCGCTTCGTTTGAGGAACTAACAAAAGCTGACGTTTTAGATATGGAAGTTTACAACGCATCAAAGGTAGGAAGCTAGATCAGTGATCGATAAAACAGGCTCACGTCCGTTCTTGAGCAAAATTTTTATTAACGAGCAGATGATTATAATGTCAAAAATGAAATTGTCTATGTGCTACGTAGGTGAATGTCTCTTAAATCAGGCATACCTCGCTTGAACTATTTACCAGTGTTGCAAATTTCCACAGGTCGCAACGAGTACGTCTAGGAAAGAGACATTTAAAAATGGGGACATAGTTCAAGATCGTTTGACTCACCCTTCCTGCTTTTAATATGGTCTCCCTCTGTTTATACGTTCGCTTCCGCTAGACCTACGCATTCAGTTAAACGGCCTGATGTAACTGCCGGAAGTAACCAAGTACAAAACATCAGCACCGTTTTCAGACGACGCACAGAAGAGATTCGCAGCGCATTGTCAATGATCTAAGAACGCAGTTTGTACTAGCGAAATTTCTATATTAAGTATAAAAAAAAATCGAATTGAAAATTCGGTTATAATTACCTAGCAGGTCATAGTCACTCGAACGAACACCCGTACGTTTACAAACAAACAGAATCTTGATTAGAAAGCCCTCCTCTTGTCCTTTCCGGAACGTTATCATGTCCGCACGTATCCCATTGGGAAACTGTGTTCCTGCTGTATAAATGAACAAAGACAAATTTAATAATGTGTGTTTAACAGAAGCTTGGTGACAGCTGGAACATTCTACCGCGCAACCGTTGTCCAGACATTTGAGATAATTCGATATCTCTCGATATTCGTTTCAACAACTTTACGCAGAATTCTTCACTTCTATTTGAATTTCTGCATTTTTTATTTGGGTGAAAGTACGTACAGGCACTGCGTCGAGTGTATTGGAGTAGTTGTATGTTAAAAGGGTCAATTAAAAACTCGTAGTTACACGCCGACCTTCAGAAACTAAATATTTTCAGCCTATTCCCTACAGTGGCTAACATCCTTAGATAACGTGCCAGTTGAAAATGTTTAAAAGACCGAAGACGCTTTTGTAAATCGTATCAGTTATTGTTAAAACACTGAGACCTTTCTAGCGAGTAAGCTGCTTCGATTGAGTGCGATTCTGCGCCATTAAATAGCCTGAGATTTTCTGTGTTTGACAAAAGCAGCCTTTCCTTCTTGAGTAAATTATTCCTTTTTCTCTAAGTTTTAGCTTTCACAAGTTACGCATGTGATTCGGAAGACAATAAACATGCGTCATGGATAAGTTAACGCTCGTTTGGCGCTCGTGAATCGACAGGAAAGCTACGAACAAGCGGCAAAATGCTAAGTGTTCAAAAGCATGCAGGGATACCCACCACTTTTCTTTGGTTTCCATAATGGTTTATTTTTATCGCAATTTAACTGGCTTTTATGCAGTCCTTAGTGAAATCGAATTTGGCCACTAGCTTTTAATAACATCTGCGAAGCATTCTGCTTTGAACGTTTGTTATTAAACCGACCTGCAAACTTCCCCTGCACTGGTCGTGCTATTGAGCACATTTCGTTTTTTTTGTCCTGAGATAAAAGGTCAATTATATTTGCAATAGGCATTATGTAGATTAGCGGTTTACTATTTACCAATATCTATACTTCAAGCGTTTTTTTCACAATAGACTTTGAGCGTAGTTTGTCATGCAGTACGCATTGCGCACACTTCTATGTGCAAAAAGGTTTTCACGTTGATGATATTTCAGCGCGACGTCCACTTTGGTGTTTCTGAATTTTGTTCTCTCTGGTATTTCTTTTTAAAAGGGCAAGATAAGAAACAAGTCGCTGGCATCAGTTTACGATTAACCGAACTAACTTTACTCTCTACGGAGAAAGACAAGCTTTGTCCTCTGGGAACAAACGTATTTGCCCGATGGGTTTCACCTTTTGGGCTGGCCTTCTAAGGAAAAAATGCTAGCGGTGGACGAAGTCAGCCCAATCTGTGCCTTCTGAAAGGTCGTTTGAGTACAGCAAGCTTGCGGATCTTGGCTTTTGGGAATATAGATCGGTTAAAAAATATCAAAAAGCACTGATAATAATATGTTGCGTCAGCTAGACTTGGCTCAAGTTGAAGTAACGTAATGAGTAACTTCATCTTATGAGTTAACGAATTTTATCGTTGTGAAAAGCCATTGTGTTAGCACTAAGATAAACGTACATGTCAGATGCCACCAGTTGCATAAGTAGTTCCTGTATGACTAACTGAATGACCCAATTTTAAAGTAACTAAACTCGATGCTTTCCTAAATGCAGATGTATTTTTTCGGTCGAAAATCTGAAACACCGAATTCATGCTCCTGTTGTAATATCTTCTCAAAGATAGTTATTTTTCAAAGCATATAGGGTATTCAATTGAATCCGATTTTTATATAGCGCAACACGCGATCTATACAAAATGTTTAGCTATACGAAATGGACGGATTAAACTCGCTGTAGGCATTACGATATCACAGTTGTTTAGATCGAACATAGCATTGTGCAATAAATAAATATCACACTAATAATGAACTTCATTTTGTGTGAAATAGAGCTATTTTTCTTCATTCGTTGAAAAAGTCATTTAAATTTGTTGACTACGGTTTCAACCAAAATATACGAAATTAACGTCGGGGGAAGCGATGTGCGTAGAACAAACGGATCAGCAAATATTTCCCATTTCTGATAAACATCCTATATATGGGG